GGGTACTATCCTCCCACGTCAAGATGGCGTGGCAAAATGTATGTGAACGACTGTTCCAAGTGGTACATCCAACTTGGTCATGAAAATATTGAATGCCTTTAAATTGATGAGCTTTGAAAACATATTCTACTTATATCAGGGTGTGTAAGCTTGATATGAAAGAGAGGCCCAAAATGTTAAAGACATGGTAAACTATGTTTGAAAAGAAGCTCTTACAATCTCCGAAGCACATATTGCATAACGCTGTAAACAAACTGACGCCGCTGCAACCTTCTGATGTGTAACGTAGACTGCACTTTGAAATCGAGTTTTACTGTCCATAAATTATTTAGGAAATACACCCAACAGCTGGGTGGGCTTAGTAGCAGTGCATAGTACATCAAGTACAATTGAACCATGGAGAATTGGCTAGGTTCGAATTCATTATTACGAACATCTGCCTGTTTCAGATTCGACTGCGCAACTTAAAAACGGAAGGAATATAAAAGTGAACTATAAACAGGAAAGGGAATTCAGATTTTCAGTGGGTTGGGAAGTTGGTTTTTTATGTTGCTGTTTACACAATATTTCAGTTATATCAGTGTGTACACTACAAACAGCAAAACAACAAACTTTTTCTAAAGACCTTGCAAGGTTGTATCTGATTCACGTTGTAGTCAAAACGTAAAGACCAGGTCAAGTTTCCATCTCGAAATAGAAAAGAATAAGTGTAACTTTCAACGTTATTTGATATAGAAAAACAAACTTTACTTGACAGAAATTAAATATTACTTCTTAAATTTCGATTTATGAAAAAAACAAATGTTTAGAAATCATAGTGGATTCATCTTGAACTCAATATAACACCTGTGTCCTTGCAACTTCCAAAGTGGTATAAACTTATTGAGATGGCTATGGCTTTTGAGAGATCGCGATTTTTACATGAAAGGAGCATTAATGGCTTTTCTTTGGCCAAGAGATAGACTGAGATAGAGAGACCAGAAATAGACTGAGAGACATCTTTCCGGGCATAATGACATTACAAACGGATAAATATTTGGAAATTGTCCCGTCATAAACAATTTTAAAAAAGGTGAGTAAAGATTTACCATTTAAAAACTATGTGCAGAAAAAAATAAACTAATCTATTCATGTTATCGCAAGATTTCTGCAACTCGTTAAGTTTTTTCTTGGCAAAATCTGGTTTCATATTTTGGACACAGGTGCCTTGAGAATGTAGCAAGCCAAGATCAAAACTAACACTATCTTCACTCGAGCAATTACTTACAGGAGGACTGCACAAATGGCCTGAGTGAAATTAACCGACAATTTACACGACAGCATTTACAACGTAGAGCCGAATGCCTCCACAAACAAACTCTCCGTGGGCTTAATATGTAATTGGTATATGGGCTGTTTAGTACCGTCGTAGCAATTGGCAAATCATAAATAGTCACACATTACTGCCAAGAGTGGTTAACATGGCTAATCCTGTTGCGGGTTGCCATGGTGTATCAGAAATCTTGGTCTCATGGTAATATATTACACTTGGTCAATTAGTGGCCCGTTCGGGGCATCCCAACTATCACCGTTATCCATTCCGTCCCTTCCAAATGACCATGACAAATAATGGACATAATTTATACTTGCTTTGATAGGTGCTGGCGTTAATGACCACGGACAATGATGTACGATGGCCACTAACTGACCAGGGTGACCTCACATGGGGTAATCAGACGCTTGGGGATGTGGTCACTGGTATCAACTTTAATGGTCAGTCGAGAAAATGTCGTGTGTGAAATGACCGCTTGAGCGTTGGTTTATTGGCATGCTTGTAATGCCATACGCTGTTGTTGGAGTGTGCTGGGTATTAAGTACTTGGTTTTATCATCCTGTCGTCTAGATATATCGGAGTGAGGAGATTAATTCTTCTTCTCCCTTGGTCATCTCTGATTAGAGCCTTCGTGAATAAATGTCTGTGCGAATTAGTATGCTGTAACAATGTGATGTTGGCTCTAATACGGCGTCAAAGTGTCATTTATAATTGTGTTTCCATATAAACAAGATATATACGATATGTAACAGTTACTGTGGGCGTGGTACACGCCATTGAAAGTAAATTATTGTATCTGATTGCATGTATAGTCTCAAATAATGATATAATCATTTTATGATTTTTGGGGTAGTTTTTACAACAAACCCTCATATGTCTCCTTTACGGTGTCCAAAGTATGATATAAGTGTACTGAAAAGGTGCAAGAAAGGGTTATTTGATGGTCATGTGCTTGATGTGGTTAACCTTGTTCCGAAGCTTCAGTTTGGCTTTAAGAATTTTCAACCTAAATAACGTTTGTAATGGTTTCATTACATCCACGTCTTAAGTGATTACTTTCGTTTGCCGTGCAATTTAGACAGACATGTTATGGAAGCTTTGGGTTTCTTTGACAAATGCTCATGTAATGATGGTTTTACGTACAACACCATTCACTGAGAATGACGTTCTGTGCTGTTGTGTCTTTTACAGGAATCATCTGACTTGTGATTACATTGAAAGTTGTACAATGGACCCTGCTTTTAGCAGAAATCTCTTTGAATTATGAACGTTTTCACGATTTCCAAAAGCTAATTATTGTTATAAGTGTAATTGAAAATACATTCATGTGTTGAGGTATGCTTTATACCTCACGCATCGCCTTGACAATGGTCAGCTACGTGACAAACCGCCACAGCATCCGTTCCAGTACTACGACCATCGTAACTCCCATACTTTATCAGTCATGACTTACGACTGCACAGAGGTGAAATTGTTTATTCGCCTTGGAATCATATCGTGGATAGGAGTTTTCGTCGCTTTGAGCAATAACCCCAATAAATCGTCTAACACATCGTAATGATGTGGAAATTCTAACTCGTATCTTTGGCCTTTACACGTTAAAGACTACGCTTTCGACTACCACACTACGTGGATAAATCTATGAAACGCAAGGGCGTTTTGTTTCGTAATTGTCACAGTATGTCCTCCAGGGCAGCTGATATGACGGTATTACGTAAACCACTTGTGGTAATGCAAACAGAGGCAAACAGCAGAGTTTCGTCAGATTGTATCTCCGTATCAAACTGGGTCCATTATGCCCTTATTGTCAACCAGAGTCACCATAACCTGAAACATAGGTCACCATTCAACCAGCAGAGGCACGTGACATGAGATAATGAGTTCAGTCCAAGTGCGTGTACAATAATAACTAAGACGATTATCTCGACCAATCAAACCAAATGACAGTTTTATAAACATACAGATTTTACCCATCATTTTCTCTTATCGCTGGGCACGCTACAGCTGTGTGAATGAGTGGATTTGATTTGGGGCCGCTTTTAACAAATTACTGTTGAGCACTGTTTTATCGAACTTGAAAGGACCTGAGTAAAATGTCAACCTATCCTAATGTCAACATGACCTACAACGTGTTTTCACACATTTACAATCCAAAGAGAGCGATATCATATTTGAGTGAGTGAGTGAGTTTGGTTTTACGCCGCTTTTAGCAATATTCCAGCAACATCACGGCGGGGGACACCAGAAACGGGCTTCACACAATGTACCCATGTGGGGATTCGAACCCGGGTCCTCGGCGTGACGAACCAACGCTTAAATCTCTAGGCTACCCCACCGCCCCGATATCATATGTGAACTAGACTACAATACAAGACTAAAATATTCAATCAATTGTTGAGTTATTGAGAACAGAAACAATAAATATGTTCTTAAAATTAATACATATGCAAGTACGTTTCCAATAGTTTCAGTTCGAATCGTTTTTGTTTGTTGTTTAACGCCGCACTCAGCAATATTCCAGCTATATGGCGGCGGTCTGTAAATAATCGAGTCTGGACCAGACAATCCAGTGATCAGCAGCATGAGCGTCGATCTACGCAGTTGGGATACGATGATATGTGTCAACCATGTCAGCGAGATATACCACCGATCCCGATAAATGCCTCTTACGACAAGTATGGGTAGATGAAGACCAAATCAAACCCGGAAGTTCACGGCTATGTCGTTGATTGAACCCCAGTATGTTGTACATTCTGCTCAGTAATAACACCATGGACAGTTTCGCCCATTTCGGCACGACGATATCGTTATTGTCATATAATTATGGATTCAAAGATAAATGTGTATTTATGTATTATATTTTGTTATGTTAAACCCACAGAACTGGAATAAATCCGGAACCGCTTGTGCATCACTTGTGCTCTTGTAAGTATGCCCATTGCATCTGGTCAATATAGTATCTATAGACTATAGGATGTTGTATTGTCTTCGTCTTTGTGTTGGCTGACCAGTACGTAGCTGCCCTCTCTACAGTGTAGGCATTTCTCATAGTCTGTGTCGTGGTCAAGTGGACAGCAAGTCCAATATGGATACATCTCCCCATTGTGATCTGTACTTCATATCCACAAGTGTGTACCCTAAATAACATTCATGATATGTGGCGTGTACATAATCGAGTTGCGACCAGACAATCCAGGGACTGATATTGGCAACGACGATCCCTACCGTTGGGCACGATGATACACCCTCAGCCATTTAGTCGCCTCTAAACTCCAGCATAGGGTGTTGGGGACCTTATCTAACCCGGATTCCCCTGTGGTGAAACACTTATCACTGACATCATTCGAAACTAGAATTGTCTTGAGAGCATCGACGTTCATTACAGATTGTGTATTGATCTGACAAATATAGTTTTACGTATATGGCAGTTACCTCCCTCGTTTACCTCTCGCTTGCTATAAGGAATGACCATCCTGATACCACTGAGCCTGCGTCCCTCCGTTATTTGCATTATCTTGTTACGTGGTTATCAAAGTAGACATTCAATCGTGGATGCGCTATATCTACGCAAGCTTACAAATCCACACTCATTGTAAAATTACGTCATATTCGTTATTACGTCAAAGCCTGTCCTTGTTCATGTCATATTCCTTGTACCAGAAACTTAATCACTATAACTTGATAAAAGGGACATAGAGAGCAGGGCCTTTATTCTCGAAACGTTCGTAGCCCTAAGAATTCTTAACTTTGATCGTAGCCAGTGTGCTAAGAATGGGCTTAAGGAGTTCATAGGGCTACGTACGTTTCGAGAATAGGGGCGGTGGGGTAGCCTAGTGGTTAAAGCGTTGGCTCGTCACGCCGAATACCCGGGTTCGATTCCCCACATGGGCACACTGTGTTAAGCCCATTTCTGGTGTCCCCCGCCGTGATATTGCTGGAATATTGCTAAAAGCGGCGTAAAACTAAACTCAGTCCGTCAGTCAGTTTCGAGAATAGCTAGCCAGGGTCCCAATCCCCAAAGCGTTCGTAACTCTACGGCCCAGTCCGCGTGTGTGCGCGTGCCTCCGTCCACGTGTGTGTCTGCGTTTCGCTATCTCTGCATCTCTCTGCGCGTGATAATGACTTCACGAAACTTTTCAAAATTCTCGCTCAGGAAAGACATAAATGCAGCCAATTGTTCCATTAAATCAGTATTAAGCACTCGCTCGTGTAACAACCTCTTCAACGTGATCGCCCCAACCAACAAACAACTAAGAGCCTCTCATGTGAATGGACAGATTTAGTTTCTAGACCTACTTCCCCATCAACACGGGGAAATACCGAGCATATTACATATTCCGTTTTTCCGCCATAAAATAGTTAACGGGTAAACCTAGTCAGTGTTGGACGTTTTTCAGCATCAGATGGCACCGTTCCCAAAAGTATTTCTCCGTGGTGCTGGTGCTGCATGAGAACACGGTGTGCCAGCACTAAAGCCTAGAACACCAGTGGCCGTAATGAACGCTCCCAGCGACTGCCTGCACTGATGAGGTAGGTACCTAATGTTCTCAGGAAGGGGGTCTTCTTAGACACCGTTTCGGTGCTGGCACTGAGACCGCATACACGGGTAGTTGCAATAATTGTGGCAGTATGCACTGGTTAATGACCAATTACCTAATTACCTGTAGTATTTAATGTTCTGTTCTGAATTTTCTTAGACACCTTGACCGTTTGTCTTCTTAATGAGGAGCCTAACATTTCTCCAACTTTACAACATTCAACATTACAACATTCAAGGAAGGCCTCTGTTTTACAGCAGGCGTGTGGAGGACACCAATGGTCCTATTTTGACTTGTACACGTTCCCTTCTTTGTTTGTTTATCAGGCGAACAAATGACTTGCCTTTGCATGGAATTGTGAAAGATACCAACAGCGAAGCTGGATACTCTAATCTTTTGGCGAACACCTGGTGTCATAACTATTTGATAACATAATATAGTCGGGATACAATCGATTTTATTCAGAGATTTCTTGTGACTTTGGAAATTGTGTTGTCGCTACTGTTTTCACCAAAGATGTCTAAAACGTCATGCATGATGTCCAGTGTTTTTGTTCCTGGAAGAAAGAGCCGAACTACAATATTTTGCTCATTTGGAAATATGTATGTGCACGAAATACTTCGTGTCCAATGAACCTTTTTTCTTTGGGATAAACCACCCAAAAATATATTTTCAGGATTTTCTGTATTGTACATTCAAGGTCTACCATCACAAGATCAAATGGTCAGCGCCTTGTCTGCTTTTACCAGAGTCAAGTAAAGACGTTCGGAAGGTTTACAGAGGACACAGCGACTGTGTCATCCTCACGTAACCTGCATCATCCTGGCTCAGTGTATCCAGCCATCTGGATTCGTGGAGCTACATATTTTCATACTGCAAAAGCCAGCTTAAGTGAATGCCTTCCCCGACCTGCATTGTTTGGCTGTAACAGAACTTGAGTAAGTTCGTCGTGTAAAAAAATCAATTTACAGATAAAGGCATAAATTCCTCTTTTCGCGACTTGCCAAAAAACGTTTGGCAGTTTCTTTCCCCAATTACCTAGCATGTCGTTGAGACTTGCAAGGAAATCTGTTTCTGTGTGCATGGGGGAATAAATCTAACCAGGGTTATAGTGCATGATGTTTTACGCCGCCAAGACCAAGCTATGTTACGACTGCTCGTACATAGTTTTTATGCTCGAGCTATGACCAGTAGTAAAGTTGTTGGTAGCACGACCAACTAACTACTTCGTCGGGTACGATGGTGTAAAACCACCAGTCCTTCGACGTATCCAAAATTCGAAATACAGAGTAAAATCCGTCAGTCGTGCATGTTCAGATTGTCACAGGGTTGATTGTTTGTTTAATTGTTGTTATGGCCGCACACAGCAATATTCCAGCTATATGGGGGCGGTCTGTAAATAATCAAGTCTGGAACAGAATATCCAGTGATCAACAGCATGAACACTGACCTACGCAATTGGGATACTATGAGTGAGTGAGTTAAAATCTAACGTCACATCGGCAATATTTCAGCCATATCGTGACGACAAAAAGCTACGTACTAAGAATAAATATATTTATACTTATTTAAAATTCTGTCAGCGAAAGAGATACGATTACGTGTGTCAGCCAAGTCAGCGAGCCTGACCACCCGATCCCGTTAGTCGCCTTTTATGACAAGCATGGGTTACTGAAGGCCAATATTCTAAGCTGGATATTCACAGGTCCTTCACCACAGGTTCTAATCCCAGTAACAATCAGGTTCCCATTAAGATGACATCTTGATAAATATATTGTTGCAGGGACATCTACCGTTCTATCATAATCACATTCTCTGATTGCTTGATTTGGTGTTAAGCCCGAGCCACACATGCCATACACGAGGAAACTTTGAATTTTCCGGGAATATCATGATAAAAATAGATACATATTTTTTGGGGGTGCCCATGAAAACATTTTGGGCTCATTTTCCGAAATATCCAAGATGGCGTCCAAGCTGGACACCAGAAACCAAGGATTTCCAATTCTTACACCATGTAACTTTTCCCGGCTGGATTAAAACATCGGGCACCCCAAAATATATGATTTATCATGATATTCCCCAGCACAATGTTCATGCTTTAGACGGGCATGTAACAATCAACCTCAAAATCGGACCTAAGCCACTGCACTAACAATTAACTACGTCCCCATGTAGCGAATAGGTTCACGCCCCCGTCCAGTACGTGCCACCTTCGCTACAGTCTCAGCCACGAGTGTTTGTGTAGCCACTGCAAGTATTTTCAAAATGTACACTTACACCAAACCTCATACGATGTATATTTGTGTGGATCTGTGTTCGTCGTTTAGTGATTTGCCAAAATAGTTATTTAAATACCTTACTAGCAATTCCAGGTGTGCTTACGTTTGTTTGTGGAAATATGTGAGCAAGGTTCCAGTCTAGAGGAAGAGTACAGGCACCCCGTGTTCCTCACCACACCTGTTTGTAAGGATGAAATAGAATTTCCAGTTGACAAACAAACAAAACATTTGATGGGGAAAACGTATGCGGCGTCACAGCAGTGAGCGATTGTTTGTCAGTGGGATGCGCATTGTAAAGTGGACTGGACCAGTGATGAGGTGCGTGAAGAGGATGCACGCAGGTATGGAGAGCTCCGCGGAGGGGATATTGCTTCAGTGTGTGAAAGATGGGTGGATAAATGTGTGAGAAACATGTGATTCACGTTGTGAAACCACTGTGAATTATTATGTGTTGCATATGATTTATTGTGAATCACTTTGTAGTGTAGTGAGGAGGGCGTAGCTACCATTATAAAAAAGCCCGGGCTTACACATGATTTTTGCTTTAAAACCCCATTTTTCTAATTCTTGCCAAAAATACATCAAATATTATCTAAATATAAAGCTTTGCAACCTATCGGGCTTACACGAAAAACTTGATTTGCTACGCGCCTGAATAAGATGATTCAGTGTTGGAAAGTGTGAATCAGCTATCGAAAATAAAAGAAACGTCTCTTGGTGTTCTTACAATCATAAGTCTCTGAACTATTTAGTGATCTTAGCGACCACCTAGTGATCTCAGTGATCATGTAGTTATCTTAGCAGTCTTAACTATTTGCAGGATCTTCGTGATCTTTGCCTTTAACGATCTCAGCGATTTTAGGGTGAGTGAGTGAGTATGGTTTTACGCCGCTTTTAGCAATACCAGCAATATCACGGCGAGAGACACCAGAAATAGACTTACATTGTACTCATGTGAGGAATCGAACTCGGATCTTCAGCGTGACGAGCGGATGTTTTAACCATTAGGCTACCCCACCGCCCCTAGCGATCTTAGCTATCTTCAGGCGACCTTGGCGACCTAGGTGCCGTTGTACAAAGCAGCCTCAGCTCTACGACTGTGATAGGTCCATGTTAAGGCAAGGGAGATACGAACATCCTGGCACTAAGATCAGTTTGTACGAAGGCATCCTAAGCAATGTTGGGGATCGCGGTGATCTTTGCGATATGATATTCCCATCTTACACCGTGGCTGTCCTATTTTCCAAACTTTAACATAGAGTCGAGTTAGTGGATAGTTTTGTTGAACATGGCCTTGAGTTAAATGATATAGCTTTCTTAGCGGTTTATTTAACTCTAAAATAGTCCGCTGTGTAATGTTGATTCATACGCGTAAATACCTAAACGTAAATAATCTTCACCCACATTCGATTCATTTATAGCCACGTGCGTTCCTTAGACAAATATTTACACTATCAAAACGAATAGACCCGGAAACGCGACACGGAAATATACACCACCTTTGCTTTCCCTCGTGTAATGTAGATTGCATGTGATTGCATGTGTGAAGAACCCCAACTAGAGTTAGATATGCTGGCCTGTCTGATAGACACTTGTCTATTGCAGGACATCTGATGTATATTTCACAGCCGGGCTGACATTTATACATCCCAGCTGTCGATATGCTGGAGAGAGGGGAGATAGGAGACGGCGATAAATAGATTCCAGTGGTTTGAGTGGTCAACGCGGCCGGAGAAAGTACCGATTGGGGGGCTATGAATATTCGAGATGGACATAAAGGGTACGCAGGACACGACATCAGTGATAACTGCCCTGCTGATAGAGCCCACTCTTTGGCTCGCATGGGTGAAATGTACAAGAGATTGCTTGTTGATGTCGTTATTGGATTAAATGCGGTGAGGCTCCCTCCCGAGCACTTGGTGGGATATTAATCTCATGGGTTTATGTATGTAAGATACTGTGGGGTTGTATTTTCCAGAAGATATTTAGAGAAACACCATTGAGTTACTGGGATTACAGTTAATCTGTCCCGAGCGTGGGGCCTGGGAGGTTCAGAGGTAGGGTGGGGGTGGGATCGAGGAAGGTCAGATGACATTTTTCAGCCACTGATTCACAAAAGGCAAACAGTCAGTCAACCAATTTGTTTGTTTTTCACAACATATTTTACTGCAAACGCCCAATTATCATTTTTTCATAAACCCCACGTAGCACTGCGACTTTCGGTTCGTGGAATTGCAACCTCAGGATATTTTCAGTTTGTATCATAACAAAGGATAGCACCTTATCAATATCCAATTTGCTTCATGTGTGACGTATTATTTTGAATCGCACTGAATAGGGGATTCGAACCCGGTACCAGCCGATCCTTGCTCACCAAAGAGTTTCAGTTGTGCAAAACCGAAATTCATCATTCGCCGTTCAACAAGCTTTCTTGAAATACTGTGACATGGAACACTACAACAAACTTTGCTGCAGCCGTCCTTGTTTGAACAAAGGTAGCCGTAGATAATACACATTGAGAGCGAGCTGTTCTATGATCTTATATATCAGCAGTCTTAAAGCTACATGTTAGCAATAAGTTCTGGATCAGACAACACAGTGATGGATAGCATGAATACCAAATGATGCCATCGCGGTACCACAGAGCGCTAGAAAGATTGTTCACGTCGGTGCAAGGCGGCTTGTGATTCGGGGCCACATTCACTTGTAATTTAGACCCACTTTCACATGTGATTCGGGGCCACATTCACTTGTAATTTAGACCCACTTTCACATGTGATTTGGGACTGGCAATTTTCACTTATGATTCGCCACTACTTTCACGTTTTTTATGGGAACACTTTCACTGGTGATTTAGGAACACTTTCTCTTGTGATTTGGGAACACTTTCTCTTGTGATTTGGGAACACTTTCTCGTGTGATTCGGAAACACTTTCTCTTGTGATTCGGGAACGCTTTCACTTGTGATTCGGGGTCACATTCATCGGGGCCAGATCGGTGACAATGGCAGGCCAACCTGTTCTATACACAAAAATATGAGTCGTTAGAAACAGTACTCTAACTACAACTGAATACTGTATTCCCAATCCTAGAAATGCAACAGACCGCGATACAAATGCTAATCCTAAATTGATCAATGATAAAGTTAATAAAGCTGGAAAACGTGTTGTGCGGGCGTGTCTTGAAGTCAATAGGGGACACACACGATATTGACTGTGATAAATTTCATCCACGCAGACTGACGTTTATCACAACGATAACATGTTTACATTGACTGCAGACTCACAATGTGCCCCCATGTCCTTGATGTCCTTGCGGGTCCAGTATGCCACTGCCGTGCAATATAAATGTGAATAGTTGCTAATTTGAAGTTACGAACACTTTATTTGAACCATGTCCATTTGTCCAGCCTGGGATGCAAAGGCTGGTCATCATGGCCTGCTTGATGAGGGAGGTAACCGGGGTGCATCGTTAATCATTGTGGTCAACCCCTTCAGCTGACCCTGGGCTGACTACGTGACTTATACACCTGTCATTAGAACTCTATAAACAATTAACAGCGAATGAACCAAAATCAACCAACAATTTATTATAACTAGTTTCGTGGACGCTATTGCCTTGAGGCATTCTATCATCACATGGCACACAACGGGAAGTTACACATAGATCCTAGCAACAACTCATTGATTAAAGCTACATCATTGTTGCCTGGCAAATTTCTCGTTTGGAAATGTGTTTTTTTCCCGCAACAGTACATAAATTATGAGTTGATCAAATGATTATAATGTTCGTGGAAATATTTAATCCCTAGGTATTAGATAAACTCATGCATTATATATGTAAATTGTGTGAGTGTCAAGTGGAACTGGTAGTGCCCTTCTGAAGAACATTTTGTAATATTCAATGGTCCGTTCTGACAATTTTCACAGCTATTTTGCATTTTACTCCAAGTGGATGTGTTTTGTCAGAAATTCGAGCTTGGCAATTCTCTGGCGTTGAATTTTTACATTTTGCACTGTCATCAAACAACCGTGCGATATCACGTCGATGTCAACCTTCTCTATACACGCCTTACGTCATGTGCCGCTACAAAACAACGTGATTTAAATATAAACTATTTACATGAAGACTACTCATTACACTGGATTATAAAGTATGCTTAATTATCTTAAATACTTTAAAAGGCAAAACAAAGACGATAAACAGACAAACGTGTGGTTCATGTTACCTTTGCTCACTTTTTGTTTTTAAACAAAAAAGAAAGCATCCCCTTGAAAATCTTTGTGTTATCAGTAGGTTGAACGCAGTCACAGAAACACAGAAAACTACTGTTATAACCACAAGTTTTAGTTCGTCAAAACCGTAGTTCGTTATAAGTATTTTGACTAATAGACATAGCAAGCGTCAGGAACAACACACAGTTCGTTACATCCGTCAGTTCGTTATATACGTGTTCATTATAAAGGTAGTTGTCTGCGTACAGTTACTTTTGCCCGGTACTTCATGTACGTGCACTATTATAGGAGAGGTGAGGGATGTAACACGATTCAGATGGTTGCACCATACAGTGATGTGCGTGCTTGCGTGCGTACGTGTCTATGTACGTGTGCGTGCACGTATCCAGACTAACTTGCAAAGCCGGTTTTATAGAGTCGTCCAGTGTCATATCATGCAGTAGTTTACCTCCCACATATCGACTCGAACCCACAAGTCCTTGTTAATGTGAGCACCAGGCAAGGCAACATCAAGTTGTCTCTGGTTTGATGCGGCCGGGGTCCGAACAACCGACTCCTTTCTTAGCAGACCATAGAGGCGGTCACACTGTTTAATATACCTTAATTGACCTAATTAATGAAAATTGCAATACCAATTAGCGTCAAGTTAAAATATATAAACATTTTAAATCAGATATGCTACACGCAATTTCACATATAGCATAATTGTGATCTTTTAATAAATTATGAAAATATCAGCAATACCTCTACTGTTAGCTACAATCTGCATTTTCTTACATACTTATACCTCTCGTTCAAATCACCATTCATGTTTCACGCCCAGTCATCGCAACTTCCGAACTTTAATACGATTCACCAACCATGATAATGGGTTCGAATCCCACATCGCCCAGATTATCATTATAGGTTCGTCAGCATCGTACCTATCGAACCATCAGTATTGTTTTACGCCGTTTGTGTACATTATTCCAGCAATACCAGTGTGTGGGACAGCAGAAATGGGAGTCACATGTGGGGAATAGAACCCAAGAGGACGCTTCAACCACTTTGCTACCTTAGCTTTTCCACTGTCCACGTCTAAGGCATACATCGTTTTAGCGCCCTTGCCACATGAAGCTGACGCGGTCTGATGTACGGAAATATTGTTCAAAACGGCGTAAAACAACTCTCTCTCACTTTCCAAGTCAGACCTTTAGATGAAGCAGCTTTCACTGTAATAAAACTAAACGGAGCCTGCTTGCATTTTATCGTAGTGAAATATATACAACCAATTCTGAAGCATTTTAAACTCACGCCGAATTTCTTCTTACACACAGTTAAGGCGTAATCTTAATGCTATGTACTGTCAACACCGTTGTGTCGAACGTACGGTTATCTCGATGTAAAATGTTTGTCCTTGCGTATGTCATCTCTTTTAAGCTTTTTGCGTTTGTGACGAACCTTAATAACTCGATGCATATACGTAAGTCTCTTCAACTTCGAAACAATAGTGTTTGTCTGTATGTGCAGCAAATTTCAAAAGTGACATTGATGAAAGATTCCAAGAATAGTTTTTATCAAATTAATTAAGTAATGCAACTGTATTTTTACATCTGCTGACAACTATAAGACAAATGTGATTTATCCCGGCCTCTTTTCTCGTTCCGAATCCATTCCGAATCACATTTAGAGCTGACTGCGCTGCAGGCGAGCAAACCCGCCTTACACGAAGACATGTCAGGCATATTGAAAACACTGCCAAACCTTCCCAGCGCCCAAACTACTAATGGTTTGACGATGTCTCGCTTAGCCGTAACACGACTCATTTGTCATTCCGAGCATTAGTTGCTACCGCTGTTGAAAATGGATTTCATATTCCATCAATAAAACAAAATATTTGTTCAGCTGCATGAAGGAGAACAGTGGCTTGTGACAATATCCTGTTGTGTTGGTTGTGTTGGGATTGTGTTGACACATTTCACAACTGACACAATCGCTTTACACTGCTAAAGAGTGTTAATATCCTCTAGGTGTATTGTATTTCTCTCACAGTGATTGATGGCTCAT